AAGCACAGTGCTTAATCAAGAGTACATACTAATACCTACACACATATACATGTAGCCTAGGATCAAAGATGCCTGTTGCTTTCAAGTTTTCAGTTCAAGAGCTTTTTGACCCTACTGGTATTTTTAAATTGTCATGTGGAAAACTAATTGCAGCTAAAACTTGCTAAGGAACAAAAATGCCTTTTCCACATGGAATCCTAATGGAACAAAACACATGAATGTGAGACATATATTGAATAGAAAATTTCAAAGTAAATCCACATGTACACTACTTACATGTATATACATACGTGCATGTGTACATGTGGCATTTGAAATGTGCTTAGGAATGGTTGTAACGAGATGTTTTAGAGTTCTGCTGTGCAGACGAGATTTACTCTTTACCAGTGAGAGTATTCTGTTCAAGTTGCTGTTAAACATTGTTAAAAGTTGTTGAAAGGAGAGGAATATTTGGAAGATTCATTTCCCAATTGATGACCTAAGATTTTCACAGGTCATTTTAAACTTGCTGACATCAGCTTTATGAAAGCTCAAGTTCAGACCAGAATATGTTCAGGAGATGATTAGAAAAACTTTCTGGCGTCCTTCAACTTTGAAGTGTTTACGCATCTATTTGGAACATGGTGGACACACTGTGTCCGCCCATTTCTGTGCTGTAGATGAAGGTAATCTTAAACGTGGTTGAAGGCTTTTGTGTATTGAATATCTACTTGTCTAACCTGCATGGTAGGTCTTCCTATCAGTTTGGACAGGACGCAGGCAGTAGAGAAGAGAGACTATCCAGATCAATATATCTTGAAGTGGCCTACAAGATATACTCCAGGGGTGAATAAAGAGAACATCCAGGTTTAATCTCGATCGCTCTCGGTCTCTTTGTTCCCTTGTACATCGTAGAATTCTTATGAGTAGGTGAGGATGCAGTTTATTTCTATGGTGCTAGTACCGGTAGTGCAGACCATTCTCTCTAGAGACGAGGAGATGCCTACTCTTCTCAACACTGAACAGACATTTTAGGCTACTGTTCATGTTGTCAGTGTCATTTTCATTAATTGAACACCATACATGTACAAGTTGGTACGATGCACCTGATACATATGTATATGTATGTTCACAGTTACCGGTAGTCCGTTATTTGACAATTTGATTGGTGCGTTGCTTACCGTACATGCATCTGGTCATATTTTTTTTTTCATTTTATGTAATCAGAAACCGCCCATCCTGTTAAAGAGCACAAGCGCACGGGCCAAACATTTTTCAGCTCAAAAAAAATCTGATGAATTATATGCACGGAGCTCTTTCGAAGGGTGAAAGTAATTTTGAGACCATTGTTGGAAGTACCGGTACCAGCTTTTGATTTTTCAGAGTTTGTTGGTTTCTTTATTTACATGTACATGTGACAGAAGGAGATGTCTTTAGTTATGTTCTCAATTCTCATGAAAATGGTCCAAAATTGGTCCCCTGGTGAAAATGTGTAACCTTCATTTTGTAAGGCCCTGCATGAAATGCAAGCTCCAGCAGGCTTCCACGTGATCAGCTCCTTTGTCATTTATAATTAATTTGCGCCATAGATCTAGCAATTCTAGACGCATGTTCTTCATGCTGTTTCACGCACGTAATGATACAGCCCGCGTAATGGAATTTTTAATCATTCGTGCATTACTTTATTTTAAGCTGATGCATTTTATCGTGTTCCTCTGCAGACTTTTGAGTGCGTACATGTAGACTGCACGTGTTTATATCTGGCTCCTGCAGCAATTTATTAGTGGTCACCCCCTGCAATTCCCGTGATCATTTTGGTGGAGGCAAATGCCTCGGCTGACCTTGTAATTTGCTAGGGTATGATTAGAGGGGCATCAACCATCAGTGGAGTGTCATTAAACAGGGATTACAACTCATCTGTCTGTTTATGAAAGGTGATTAATGACACCTATAAAACTGTGGAGTGTGTCTATCCATAGGTCTATCCATAGAGCTACATGTATCCCTGTACTGTCTATGAGTACATGAAGGTCTGCACTGGGTCTGTTTATCCGCAGCACAGGTATCAGCTCTGCTACAGAGAAAGTAATCTTTCATAAAACGTCAATTTTTTTCTTACACCGGCTTTGAAAAACAGTCAACATACATGTATTTGTATCACATTTTGGGTGTAATATTATATTAACAAAAACCAGTAACAGTCAACTCTACCCGTACAAGTACAATGTACATGTATCTTTCACTACATTATGTGATAGGCCATCCTGTAGCACCAGTGTTTTTGATATGGGAACGTTTGACAGGGGCCAGTTTTGCTCTTGATTTTTATCAATGAATTTCCCCCCATCTACAATTCAGCCTGGCTGCTAAAAGATGCATCTAAGATGCAGCTGCACAAGCTTGTGGCTGGTACGTATACATGTCTACGTGTATGTACATTTACTTGTGCTTATTTATTTTTAGAACGAATAACACATAAAAACATGTTGGCATGTTGTTAACAACTATATTCAACTTAGCTTCAGGAAAAATATTGGGTTGTCAGGAAAAAAGACCATTTAAGTCATTTCCCTTTCTCTTGACAGAAATGCCCCACAAGCTCTGTGTCTATTCGGTGTTTGTCTTCTTGTATGGAAGCGTTTGCCCAGTAGGCAAATGACAGTGAGGACATATTTTTGAGAGGAGAATTGACAAATTGAAGACCCCAGCATCTAAACGAGAGAACAGAGGGCCAACCAAATTGAACTACCATGCTTGATGATTTGCCAAGCAAAGAAAAATGACCACAGATAGGTTTCCAGACTTAAGATCTGTACCACTTGGCTGTCCTCACAGCGTACTGATACGTGTACATGTAAATGAAGCCAGTGTCAGACCAGAGTCACCTGCAGTCCTCATAGCAAATGCTCACGTGCACCCTGGCAGATGCTGAAATCATCACGCTAACTTTACACAGGTGGGCCGTTGTTGCTTCAGGGCATATGGCTCTGCAGTTTCAAAGGCTCATATACCATATGTGTACAATGTACATGTGCTTGTACATGTGCACCGCACATGTGCAATCACAATACATTACAGGTATTGGTACATGTTCATTTGTGTAATAAGTGCATGTACCCTCTGAGCTTTGTTGAATAAAGCTGTGATTGTTATTGGATGTATGCCCATGTGTTTCTACTGCTTTTGACTCGTCTGTGCCTGTTCTACCTCAGTAATGGAACTTTATGCAGAAAGAATGGAATGGGCAATAGAACCAAATGGGAGTCAGCAGGTACATGTACATGTACGGTAAATAAAATGGTATCCAAATGTAGAAATAGAAGGCAAATGTTCCTCCCCATTGCCTTCAGTGTAAATTAACCTTACCTTACTAATTTGCAAATGACACACATGTAGATAATTGCACAATCATTTGATACATTGTAGGTATTCCCATCCTCTATTATACCAATGGTAATAAGTCACATGAAGTTGCTACACTGACAGGGGCTGTTGTCCTGTCCATTCAATTCAAACAATGGAAAACTAAATGTTTTTTAAGTGCACATAAGATAAACCCCAAAAAAGGATGTTGAATACATGTACATGTAGTTTCTTATACCCACGCCAGTACATGTAAAGGAAAGTACCAGTTGAGAGCTGCAGAGAATATGTTCACAGCTGAATTGAATACCATACCATGGGCCTTCAGGAAGAAAATGAAAGGCAGATTTTGTTTGTGCAAAAACCCATGTTACTGTAACTTTGTGATATTCATGTATATATCTTTGTAGTGACAGAATAGCTTTGTACATGTACTAGTTCGTATGTACATGCACATGTAGTTTTGTACCGTCCCAGCCTGTTTTGGCTCATTTGCATTCGTGTACATGTATGTACGAGTATATGTGCTTTACATAAAAAGCGACCATTTCATGTACAGGTGTACATGTAATGCATTGAATTACCATTATTTTTAATGTCTGCTTTTGGTAACCCATATTCACATTGAATGTACCCACACACGCTGTGTTGAGGCTGAGTCATAAGTCTGCTCACTTTGCAAATCAAATCCCTCCCAGCAGGTGAGAAAAACGTGGTTAAGCAAGAATTACCTCTACACACCAATGGGCTGAGATTTAATCAGGTTTTGCAGAATTTACGAGTTTTGGCTTCATAAGGGTATTATGAGTGACTGAGCTCTCTATGAAGCCATGCCAGACGAAATACCCGGTAGGACAGGAGCTAATTCACGGCAGATGCACGCTATCCCATTGGCCCGTCTGTAAACCCTTTGTCTGCAGCTGAAATTTCAGCGCGAAAACGGCCGGGGGCTTTTGGGTGTAGATATGAGGGAACTTTAGGCTGTGCCGCGTTTCACCGGTATTTGTTTTTTCGTTTTCCTCATGTTATTTCTTGAAGCCACGCTGCTTTGTCTGCAGATATGGAGGGGTGGCAGCACTCTAATAACTCAGGGAAATGTTTGAGTATTTGTAGTCCAAATAATGAATCAAAGTGGTTTATTTTTATTTACAATTGCACGTAGGGGAAATAATAAATCCAGAGCACATGTACCCGTGTGTGCAGGGTCACACTGGTGCCCTAAGAAAATGAATAATTTTTACACATGAATATTTATACTGTATGTGTATTTCTTTCAAAGTGTTGTTTAGCGTTATTACTGGTGTTGTAACAAGCCGTGCAAATACTTTCACTCATTTCAGTCACTGATTTTAACCCTCACTCCTGAGGCATCCCTCCAGCATGTCCTTCAAGCCTCTTGTAAAAGCATGTTGCAGAAGTGGCAAACCCCCAAAACACTCTGTCAGATTTCTAAGGATCTACCGGTAGGATGACTAGGCTTTAAAAGTGGTCACAAAAGGTAGACATAATGTACACAGTCTGGTGCATTAAATCATTTGATCCTGTTCACCTTGCACGGTTGTCCTTGCTTTTAAAAAAGATGAGAAATTAAACTGCCTTCCATATTAGTGAAACTGTTTCATTATTATTTTGTCCCTTGTCTGGTGTCTGATCTCTAGGGCACTCCAGGTGCAGTGAACATTGCCTACACAGTGGAGTGGAAACCCCTCTGGGAACCGTTCTACATTGGGCACCGGGATGTGCCACTCTACGATGAACGGTTCAAGCAGTATGGCTTCAATCGCATCAGTCAGGTAGGTGTGGCGGAATAATGAACCCTCCACGGTTGTCATTATACGTTTCCTTGCGAGGTGTCTACCTGTTTGTTCAAGGTCCTAGTCTCAGTTGCCTCGCAGGAATTGTCTCAACCTTTTTCACATTCGGTCATTTTGAAAAATTTGTTTCATTTTGGATAGACAGATGTTGTCAGTACCAAAAAACAAAAGCATTTTCCCGGTCATTCAGACCTTAGAATTATCCAGCATAAATAAAGAGCCTCTTTTTTTCTCTCAACTGCCCATCTTTTGTTGGAAATTATAATGAATAACGGTACTAACAATCATCAGCGGGGGGGATGCCTACTGTACGTGTACATGTAAGCTAACATCGAAATTTTGTAAGAAGTACACTTTTGTATCGGTTCATTTGCCCTGTGTCAAGCAGTTTGTCCATGTACTTGCATATTCATAAACACTGCAGTCATTGTTGTCCGATTGCTTGTGGGACACAAACCCATAACCTGCTGTCCGCTACTGTAGATATCTTACCAAACTTGCAAGGAATAAGAGGCCTGTTCTCCCTGATACCGGTAATTGAAGGCACAGTAAATCAATCTTGTACTTAATTTGTACTGGCACCGTACATGCATGTACATGTATTTCACACGTTATTACTCATTGTGATCCGAGCTCTACATGTTTGGTATATTGTGACTGATTGTCTGCCACATTGTCTGCATTAACCCTCCTATGCAAAGATACATTCTTGACACAATGGTCGTATCAGACAAAACCAGCCAAATTTCCCATACATGTATGTGTCTGTGTACTGGGACAAATCAAGTGGAAGAAATTTTTGACTCTTTTGGATGGTTATAGCAGAAGGAGGGTTAATGAGAATTTTGCGGTGGTTGTTTTTATTTAAAAGCTTCCCCCCCCGGGAATGTACAAGTTAAGCCCTAGTGACTTGTCCCACGAAGCAGGGATTTACAAAATGTAGAGGCCTAAAGGTATACTTTGGGGGATTCCATCCATCTAGACTCTTTAAAAATTCCACTGGAAGTGAAGCACATCATTTTCAATCACGAGACTGCATTTCCAAAAACCAATCAATACCTAAAAAAGTCCATGATGTCTTGCACCGGCCAATTTTCATGACCACCCACGCAGCTATTATCTACATGTATGCTGAGATGGTATTTAATTAAATCAGAATTTCATGCCAAGGCAAAGCAGCGTTGGGAAATGTAGCATGCATCTCCACACTTCACAGCCATGTATTAGGGGAGCAACCTTGAAACGTCTCCCAAGATGTTCCTCACTCAAGTAAGCCTGGATAATTTTATTCCCCGACTTGTCGGAATTAATCTAATACACTGTTCAGTGCAGGTCTGAGCTGTCGCCTCCATTGGATGTCATAATTAATTTTTGTTTGTGTATTTTCCACAACTCTGGGCAGAGTCCAGGAAAAACACCCTATTACCACTGTCTGCGGGGATGGGCCGCCCGTCATGTTTGCACCGTTGCCTGTCGTTCCTCGGCAATCCTTCCCTGAGCAGACTATTTACACCCAGCCCTCCCCTAACCCCTCTCCTTACCGGCGCACTTCTGTAAGCTTCCCTTAATCTGATAAGCACCGTGTAGTTCAGACGCGAGGACGGGCAATATCTGTAATGTATCCCAGAGATATTCATTTCAATTACCAGGCAACATGTAAAGCATTGAGTGAGTCTCTCTCGTCAAGCTCTGAGTGCCCCCCCCTCCCCATCCTTCATTTTTCTCAGGTAGGAATGGATTTTTGCCCAGGGTCCATTGAGCAGTGTCGATGTACTTTGACGCCATCAGTTTTTCCTTCCACTTTATTTCACCTTTGCAGTTCATCATTTTTTTTTTCTTTTACCCCCGGCACGTTCAAAATTTGCCTGCTGCCATAACACTACTTTCCGCCTTTCGTAGGGGTGTGATCAATATTTGTACGATTGCCAAGAAAATAAGACTGCCTGCATAATTTGAATTCTGCCTGACTTTGCGAAATCCTCAACAGGAGTGTAGTGTACATGTACTACATGTACAGTGTACATGTAGATGTGTCCCAAACAAGGCACAGGGCACAGGCTTCCATTGAACATTTTCTCATTCTTTTGTGTAATATACACTGTACATGTAGGTACTTACATCTAGATGCATGTACATATACATGTACTTGCACAGTATGTGTACGTGCACCAACATATGATATTCAACAGTTTTTGACGGCTGCCGTAATGTCAGACATAAAATTCAGTGACACATCCAGCAGGAGGTGAGCATGATTGAGGGAAGCCCCCCCCCCGGAATGGAAAGCACTAACACTTTTGCAATAGTACTGAATCTAGTACCTCACTTCCACCTTTCTTGGGGGATAGGAAATGAGAATTCTGTCACAGATGGAAGAAACTGGACTGTCATTTCAGGGAAAAAAATCCCATTTTGCCCCCTCCCCCAACAAAAAAATTGGCTTGCCACTGATGAAGTTTTGTATGCCTAAGGGATTCGTGGCATCTGAGGTGGAAGTGATAACTAATGGGTTAATGATGTTTTTTCCAACTTTCCACTCCGAAAATGAAGTTGGAAAACTATTTTACATCTCGCTTAAGTTACTCTCGTCAAAATGTGTACTTTTTACCCGACAAATGAGGGCACTGTAATTGCTGTGATGTCATCATGGGAAGACACTGTTGTTTTGGGGCTTTTCGTTCATACTGTGAACCCCAAATTTGCTCCTTGAAAATACATGTATGTACACGTACGTGTATCACTGGCTTACTGTCATGAAATGACAAGCAAAGAACATTATCATAAGCAAAATTTACTACAGGTAGAGCAAAATACACCACATTTTTTGATGAAATTTAGTTCTGCCTTGGATGACATTACACTCTCGCTGGCAAAAAAGGATTGAAAATTTGCATTAGCACAACAAATATTGAAAATTAAGTTAAGTGGGACAAACCTTTATTAGCAAAACTGTATTGAAATATTACATTGTATGGGCCATATTTAAGTGTATGTCCAACTGGTAAAAGAGGGCTCTGCAGTACAGCAGTCAAGGAATACCAATATCTTAGTCATAAGGATGAACTTTGCGACTTACTGTGCAAAAAATAAATGTCAGTCATTTGCAGTCAGACCTTTGTTGACTGAGGTTTTATGCCTGATATGAAATATTGTCTTGCCCTACTAATTAGACATGCCGTGCCCTGTGCTCTACCTTTGTGACACAAATATGTCAGGAAATAATACAGTGACAAATGACATTTTACATCCATTTTTCTTCTGTTCATGCCAAGATGCGAATTTAATCCCTTTTAAGCTTGTTATAGTTGAGCTCTGACGACAAATGACACTACGTTCAATTTGGATGCTGCCATATTTATTGGAAGAGATAAAATCAGAGAAAACGTGTTTCCTTAGGTGCTCTTTAAGAAACTTCAAATGGCATACTGTGACATCATCATGGATTATGGAAGTATGGCATTGGAAATACACAAATTATGCTTTTTGGACTTTTAAAAAACATTTTTTGCTGAAATTCTGCAGTGGGACATGTGACGCAAAGTTGTGAGGTTAATTCTCACTTGTATACGGGTAAGCTTGTAAATATTTTGGTTACAAGCTCTCGTATGCCACCGATGATGAGGTATTATCAGTCAAAATAACCCATTGTTTTATTATTTCTTACTTCTTTTGAGTAGATCAGTTCCGTATCTCCCCACTTCATAATGCAAGCTCTGGTACCAAATCATTGTTGAGCACACCTATATTGAACAATGGACAATTCAATTCTTTTTGACACGTGCATCACATTAGAAAAGGCCATAGGTGCACATGAATGCAACCTTACAGTAGCATAGTTGAAATGAGCAATAATACTCATAGTACGTGTACATGCTCAGTCCAAATAAGAAGTACACAAACCTGTGAGAGATGAATGGTTTCAACTTTGGTATTTTAGATGCTGGCGACAACTACTTGTGATCTCTCGGGAGACCTTATTGGAGCAAAAGAAATCTCCGTTCCATCGCCACACCTTGTAAAGCCCCCACATGTGAAGAGCTTTGTACAATATGAAATCCTGGTGCCGCGGGTTTCGCAGCTTACCCAAGTGGGACAACCACTTCGTGTAACAGAGATGTACCCTTGGTTTAGGGCAGAATCGCCCAACTCACCCGGCTGGTTGGATGGACTCTCATGACCCCTCCAGGCAACCGCTCACTAGCTATAGCCTGGCCTAGATTGGTTTGGTTCCACAAACACGCTGCAGATGCCAACCCCCCCAGCCCTTTCTACCCCGTCACGTTCCAAATATATGCGTACACTTCCCCAAGCGCTTCCATGGTTTACGTCCCACTGTGGTCTAACCCACGATAATGTGCCATCCATGCTCGGCACTCGGGGGCTCAATTCTTCTAATGGTTTTTTCTGGGGTCTGATCAATCTCTGTCCGTTTCTTGCCAACAGGCAGAGTTCTACCACAACGTCTATGCAAGGGATTTTCTGTGATGCAATCATGTACAGTACAGGACAGGAATAGCTACCAGTATAATACATGTGCTATCTGAGTAGACAATTCAATTCCTTCATGAAAGTGCAGGTTTGACTGTTTGTGTTACATTGTACCGTACCCCCTGAAAGTCCGCAATGTTATCCCACAGGCAATCAAAATTTCATTCCAATAAAATTGTGCTATTCAACAGCGTGGGTTTTCATAATGCCCTTTACTTTAGTAATGGAGGTGGGAAATTTGTCCCCATCCTTTGGTATCTCCCGACAGGGTCATTTATACTTTGGTGTCATTGTATGCAGCACATAGACCGTGACTCTTACAAGCCATTCCTGCTAGCTGATTCCCAATGGCCCTGAACAAAACCCTCCTTTTTGTAATCCTGGAAGTACGTTTATCTCCAGGAAGTACATTTATGTGAACAAAGAACGATACTCATGTACCAGCTACATGTAAATACATGCATTTTCCGTACATGTTTGTTTTCATGTAT